CGCCCCCGCTCACCCCCCGCCTCGCGGCCTGCCGCTGGCTGGGCGTCCGCTTTCTTGCGCAGCAGCTCAGAGTAGAAGAGGGTGGCCTCGCACAGGTCCTGGCGTGGGAGTGGGAGGCTGGGCTGCAGCCACTCCTGGCTCTGCCATCCCTCCCCGCTGATCTCGAGCCTAGTCTTCCCGGCCCCCCCAGCCACGCACCTGTCCGAGCTGGGTGCCCAGCACCTGGGCCTGGGCGGGCTCAGGCCATGCCAGGCGGACCCAGAGCTCCCGGATGTGGCTGAGGCAGAGGCTGGCGGTGGTAGCGGAACTGCTGTGCTTGCAGGAGGGGTCTACGGGCTCCAGCTGGGAAGGAGAGATGGCGGTTGCCGGGGGCTCGGGCACACCCCGGTGCCCTGGAGCCTGGCGCTCAACGTGTCCACATCCACGGCTCCCTGAAACCGCCACTTGGCCTGGTCCCGCACCACCTGCAGCCAGAGCTTCACAGCAGGCAGGAACGGGGCGTGGATGCCAGCCAGGGCCAGGGAGCGGCTGTCCCTGTGGTGTGAGGCCGGAGTTCATACCCGCTCAAGTGTCCTCAGGAGTCACGGCCCCTGGGCTGACAGCCACCCTCTGGGACAGGGCACACAGTGCCAGGCACCCACCGCCCCGGGATGCTGTGCCAGAAGCGCTGCGTGTCCGCCAGGGTCAGGTAGAGCTCCAGAAGCCCCGAGGCCACCTCCAGGGTCATCTTGGGGTTTAGCTCATCAGTCAGGACCCATGCCTCTTCCGCCACCTGCTCCAGAGGCTGGAGTCAGGCCCAGGCGACATGGAAGGAAGCTCTGGGCACTCTTCGCATGCCCACAGACCCCCATCAGTGACCGCTCACCAGGCGCTCCAGCTGTCGGAAGGTCAGGCTGAAGAAGTCCACCTCGAGAATGCTGCAGAGGACAGGCATCAGCCCCAGCCGCCTGCACCCACCCCTGCCCGCACAGGGGCCGTGCCCACCTGTGGAAGAGGCTGGCATAGATGCCGTAGCAGGACTGCAGGTCGGCGTAGACAGCGTCTGCTAGCTCAATGAGGCCGGGGAGGCGCTGCGGCCCTTGCTGCAAGGAAGCACTGCTGGGGCCTCAGAGGACCCGGCCGCGGCCACGCCCTCTGAGCCACACCTGCTCTCGGGGACACTTGGCGTCCAGGAGCCTGTCGAACCACTCACGGTTGCCTCTCTGCAACAGAAGCCGCGAGGCAGCATTGTGGGCTGAAGGGGACAGAATGATGGCGCACGGGCCGCAGGCCTCCACACACCTTCAGAGCAGCAGCCACGTCCACGCTCAGCTCCGTCTCAAAGGGGCAGATCTCAAAGGAGGGCTGGAAGAGCTGCAGCTTGCGGAGACACCTGCCAGAGGGCCACGTGCTGACCTGGGCCGCCGCCGGGCGCCCCCCACCTGCAGCCCTGGGCGGTGCAGCCCGCCCCGCCCCCGCCCGCACTCACTTCAGCAGCAGCTCCAGGCGGCCCACCGCCGTGCTGTTGGTGGCGGGGAAGTAGTCTCGGAGCTGGCGCAACAGGCGCAGCCCAAACTCGGAGAAGGCAGAGAAGCTGTCAGCCAGGCTCTCCTCCTAGGGGGATAGAGCCCTCTGGAGCTGCAGACCTGGCCTAGCAGCCCTGCTGGCCTTGGCCCGCGACAGGCTCCCTCGGTCCCTCCCCGCGAGGAAGTCCATGGGGACGGGGCCTCCCCCCCCCCCTGACTGACCCCAGGTAGCCTCCCCCTGCCTGCCAGCCTCAGCTTCCCCGCCACCCCCACCCCCGCTACTCCCACCACTCAGAGCCTTGTAGGGCAGTTCCTGCCGCCCCACCCCGTGTCTTCTTTCCTGACGGCCGAATGAAGGCCTCAGCAGCCTCCCGTCGTGCTCTTCAGACCCGTATCTTTGTTGTCACACAGCGCTTGCTCTCCCGTGTCCCGCGTTCCCCGGGAGGGCGCTCGGCACCCTTCATGGCCACGCCCACCTGCTCCTGGGGCAGCGAGGCCGCCTCCTCCCAGTGCGCCTGCACGTCCTCCAGCAGCCCCAGCAGGTAGCCATAGTCCAGCGTGCGACTCTGATGGTGGCGGCTGCTCGCCCGCCAGTGGCCACTGTGGTCTGG